ATTCGACTGTAAAATTAACAATTAACCTTTGTTAACTGTTTAATTAACTTTTAAGGGATCTCGCGTAGATACAAATTAAATTATATAGGCTCAGGTTTCCATCTGGTATAATATACATTTTAATGTTCAAGGAAATTATAATTGGAAATTGATCTATTTACTATTTACGTTATAGATTAGTGGAGGCTTGATTTCAGTGTAAAATTATTGAGTTTGATTTCCAATGAGGTCACAGAAAATTCAACATCATTTTCTCATACATACACTCGTAAAACATAACCCTCCTTCTGGCGCAGTCGGGTAAATATTGGTTGCGTTGAAAAAAAGTAGAGCCAGATTATTTTTTTAATACTTTTTTAACTACCAGATAACTTTTAACTGAAAAATTGACAGTGTCTTTTTAAACATTTATCTGAAGAAAATTATAAAATTAACCCTAAAAAGCACATCCACTACTTAAATCTGAAATAAATAATTTGATTTGATTTAAAGTAAAAATATTTTTTTTTGTTACCTTATTAGTCCACGAATTCTTTTCACAATTCAATTAATTTGATACATTTAACATTTTCTACAAGCATCAAAGTCTGAAGAATGTCTTGACAATGTCATACGCTTGTCCTTTTGGCTGACAAAGGGCCCTCAAAATGGGTTTATTTAAAGAAATAAGATGATTAAATATACTACTCTTGTTGTGATTCCACTAATGTTATTAAATCGTGGGTTTAGCTACCTATTTTGCTATAAAAGAGTTGGTAAAGTGAACTTTTTGTGTTACTGGAATTGAATAGAGCTATTGGTATAATAAAGATTAAAAAGATTGGAGTTAAGTTTCGTTTTTAATTACGTTTTGATAAAAGTGACTTAGCCCGAAATAAGTTTCAATGTTTTATCGCCAGTTTTTTCAAGCAATTCGATTTTTCCAAGTTATGTATTTAAAAAAAATGTTTGGGATGTATTTCTTAACGCTAATAAGTTTAATAACTATTGTTTGTAACATTTTTCATTGACGCCTCTCTTCTATCAGACGTAGCGTAATGTTATGTCATCCGCTTTGCAATGGAGGGAAGTCGAACCTTAATTTCGAACTCCTCCTATGTTCTTCTGATTAATTTCGTTGCGGGTCCAATGACAGTTTAACTTTCCCCCGGGACAAACTTGACCTTCATTGGTTGGGTTTTTGTGGCTGTCAAGCTGTAGATCCTGGCTACACAGGAGTTGCAGCGGTGGGAACGAGAGGTGGGAATAGTCCCGTGTTATGACATTCTTCAATAAAAGGACTGTCAAAAACAAAACAAAATTATTTGAAATCAACTCTTAGTTCTAGAGATAACCGCGTTCAATCAAACAAACTTTTCAGATTTATAATATTAGTCAGTATATTCGTAGATTAATTATAATAATTAATAAAAGATGGGCAGGCCTCCCACTAGGTGGACCAACGATCTGGTAAAGGTCGCGGGAATGCCTGGATGCGGGCAGCGCAGGACCGTTCATTGTGGAAAACCTTGGGGGAGGCCTTTGTCCAGCAGTGGACGTCATTTGGCTGAAACGAACGAACGAACAAACGAACGAACGAAAGATTGATTAAATTCGTTACTAGTTTGGACTGGAAAACCTAAAAAAGTAAATTTACACGACGTGTTAAACTGCAGAAACTAGAATACAAAATACCAACTTTGTTACTAAAACAGGGCGCCATAACAAGCGAAGTTTGGGCCTCGTTTCGGCATATTTTGTGTGGCAGTTGACAGTGTGTGTGGTTCAAAGTTTGTCAGAGTTAAATCAAAACAAATCAAAATAAGGGTAGATTAAAGATACAAAGCAACAGTTGGACTTTTAACATTAATTAAATTCTAAAAAAAATACAATCGAGACCATCGAGAAACTTTCAACTTCGAATCGTTTGCGTATTCAACCTTCTCACTACAAACAGTGAAACAAAATTTAATACTTACTTATTTCAAATTCAATGATAACGTGACGATTTAGATTGTTAAAATTATTTTTAATTTCGTGCTACCGTTTCCATTTACCATATTTAATTACGTCATCTATAATATAAAAATGAATCGCAAAATGTGTTGGTAAGCGCATAACTCAACAACGCCTGGACCAAATTCTTTTTTTTTAATGTTCCTTGAAGTCCAAGGATGGTTTTTACTTCGAGAAAAGTTCTCGAAACTTCACCCCTAAGGGAGAAAAACGGGGTCCACGCGTACGAAAACAATTGATCCATTAATTTGGTCAAGCAATTATTCTGATTCTGAAAGAGTTTTTACAAAATGGGTGCTAGAGCCCCTTGTGTAAAATTTCAATGTGTACCTTTTTTGTTACCAGACCTGTTTAAATAACTTCAATCACAATGACCAAATTTCAACTTCATATTAGCCATGTGAATGCGCCTTATTCGTCCAAGGTATTAACGCCTTTCCATAATCAAACCCAATCCAAATCCGCCCTTCAACTGTACATTATAATCGACGGTATTCATGTTTATACATTTTCATATTGTTTATGGAGACATTGGCAAACGTGGAAACACAATAGCCATAGAGGAGAAGAAGAAGAAGAAGACCATTAAATTTAAACATTATGAAAGCGTAATCTCTTGTAAACATCCGTTGTTTTTTTAGGTTGTTGTTTTTGACCGGACTAAGTACGGCCCGATTTTTTCACCTGATCTAGCGGTTGTGTATGGTTTATAATGACATTTGCACACGCATCATGATTCATGCATTGGACATCGGGCCGGCGAGAAAATTGGACTGCAAACAAAGAGTATACGTTTTTTGACGGTTCGTCGTCCAGTGAAAAAACAACAAACAAGCGGCTAAAAGCATCGAAAACCGTGGATATTTTGACCAAAAACAGATTGAAAGACAGTTGGCGGACGGATTTGGATTGCTTGAGGAAGGCGAGCTTACATGATCAAATTAATGAGGATTATGATAGATGATACTTTAATGTTTCTTGACGTATTTTTTACATAATTAACGTACTATGTATAACTTGCCAAAACCCGGATAAGTTATAGATTTTTTTGAGGCAAACAAGCTCTATGACGTCACTTTCTCACTATTTATCTAACGCAACTAAAAAATTAAAACCAATTTTAATTAAAGTTGTAGCAATGAGTGAGCTTTACATGTGTGGTGGCTCGCTACTGTTCGTTTTTCAGAAGTTTTGACAGACATTACACTATCGTTATGTGCATGTACACGTACACACACAAACAAAGCTCACTCGCCTTCGTGAGTTGCAAGAACTATTACTCATTACTCAATTTTCAGGACTTTATTCAACCCTTTTAAAAGAAGTATGACTAAACTTTTTTTTCATTAGATTATTTCAAGAAGAAATTCTTTGAAATTATTGGTTAATTACCATGCACCCAAACCTAAAACAACGTTTATTCTTTTAAAATTAAATTCAGCCTTTTCCGGTGAAGCGGCCAAAAGTCCCCTTCCATTTTTAAATTCTCTCCCCTCAAATTGGCGGGAATCACTTTTTAACTCTCAAATTAATACTTAGTTAGCCCACAAAAGAGGCAGAGAAAGAAGGTTCGATTTAGTTTGACGTTTAATTTATTTGATTAAAAATACTGGAGTAAAAATGCATGCAAAACAAAGGATATTACAAATAATTGGGTATATTTCATACCATACTAATAACTGAAGCACAATTTTTTAAAACAACACTTCGTTTTGATTTTAAAAACTCATTTTTAAATCTGTAAATTGGTTGCTTTGTAATTGACAAAGTTATTATAAAAATGACGTTGACGCGTATTGCCCTACAAAATCTATGGGAGAGTCTCGTTTTCATCATCATCATCATCATTTCAGCCACAGGACGTCCACTGCTGAACATAGGCCTCCCCCAATGCTTTCCATGTTGATCGATTGGTATAGCGGCCTGCGTCCAGCGCTTCCCTGCTACCTTTACGATGTCGTCGGTCCACCTTGTAGGTGGACGTCCCACGCTGCGTTTTCCGGTACGCGGCCTCCATTCCAGAACCTTTCTGCCCCATCGGCCGTCAGTTCTGCGTACTATGTGCCCTGCCCATTGCCACTTCAGCTTGCTAATACGTCGGGCTATGTCAGCGACTTTGGTTCGTTTACGGATCTCCTCATTTCTGATTCGATCTCGCAAAGAAACACCAAGCATAGCCCTCTCCATAGCACGCTGTGCAACTTTGAGCTTCTGTATAAGGCCTATAGTGAGAGGCCACGTTTCCGAGCCATAAGTTATCACTGGTAACACACATTGGTTATACACTCTAGTCTTCAGGCATTGAGGTAATTTGGACGAAAAGATGTTGCGTAGTTTCCCGAACGCTGCCCAGCCGTTGGTGGGAGAGTCTCGTTTTGACAGTTTAAAAGTGCGTCAATTGCCTATTTTAAGGTTTTAAAAGGGGGGACAACAGGACTACACCCTATATTATTGTCCCGTAGCAGTGGTAGAGTTAAGATATAAATCAATTTTAAGAACTGTGACAAATAAAATTATTAAAAGCAAGTAAATATTTTTTCAGATTTTTAAGGTGGCAGGAAGCAACATTTTATTCTGGTATCTAAACTGAGGGTGAATTTTCGTAATTTTCCAGACACAGTATAAACACATTTTTAATTAGGTAAGTATTTTTTGTAAAGCTAAAGTTTATGTAAAATTGCTTTTTTCCTTTCGTCCAAAAATGGAAAAGGTATCTTCGTAAACTTCGAAACATTTATTATTGAGCTTTATTTTCTTAACAGTAACCTTTAGAAGAATTTAATTACGAGGAACCCAAAATGGACACTCAATTTTAAAATTCAACCTAAAAATTTTATTTTAAAAGTCGTTAATGGCTGTCCATATTCCCATAAAAGAGCACAAAATTCAAAAATCGTAATTCAAAACTTTGTTTTTTTTAAAATCGACACTGGCTGGCATCCACCAACAAAAAAAACACGAATTCAATATTCAAAAATTCAAAAATGTTCCAAATTCGAACTCACCTGTTGCGATGTCTGTGCGCGCTCGCAAAGTGCGCGGTCCGCGGCCGCCGCGCGCTTTTATTGCAGCCGACTTTGGGCCTAACAGGTGGGCGGGACAGGGGAGCAGTAGAGTTGCTTTTCGATTAGCATTCCATTAACTTTTTGAATATTAAATATTTTACTAATTTAAATTTGTGTTTTTTCAACAATCGAACTGGCGGAAGACGGAAATGGGGGATGAAAGTCACTATGGAGTAAGAACTTTAAGAAGTAAAAGTATAGCTATACCAACCTTCGGCAGAACAAGGGGACAAATACTTAACATTTAATTTTTATACTATTAACTAATTAAAATTTAATTCATACTGAACACTAGTTTAGAATGACATTTTTAAACTAGTGTTCAACGTGCATGTTATTTTTCTTGAATAGTCTGTGAAACCTTATTGCACCTATTTATAAAATTGTGACACCATTCTATTCCTACATACTTTCAAAAAGTTATTCAAAAAGCTTCGATGTTCATAGATTTGGTATTTTACGCCATTTTCCGCAATTTTCATTTAAATTTTCTTACATATTACCGGGTTACCTTAACATAACTGGTGAAGGTCGCGGGAAGAGCCTGGATGCGGGCAGCGTAGGACCGTTCATTGTGGAAAACCTTGGAGGAGGCCTTTGTCCAGCAGTGGACGTCATTCGGCTGAAACGAACGAACGAACCTTAAAATTAAGGGGATTATGTATTATGTACACAGATGTAACAAAATACATTATGTAATAAACAATTAAATCATACAATTAAAAAGACAACACTAATGTACACTAGTAGCACAAGCGACTCCATACCTCCCTTGAGCCCACTCGCGGTATAGCGCGCGCCCGCAGCTCTAGATTTTTGCAATTAAAACATCCTGGGATCGCTTAGAAACTTTAATGAAGTGAGTGTTGCTTACAGTAATCTCAACTAAAACTTCTGCATGTGGGAAGTAAAAAACGTAACCCTCCTGGCGCAGTATGTAATAAATATGACGTGTGGTACCGGCAGAGTTGAATCAGAGCAGTCCATTTTCCCGTGGATGTCGTAAGAGGCGAGGATCATGCGAACATCATAGCTTTTTTCCATCAGAAAAAGCCATTTTTTACTTTCAGCCAAATTAGAGTTTAGTAATGAATTGTTCCAAGTTTATCACAATTTGGTTTCGGTAGATTAGCGGACAATAACTGCCTAGCTCGCATCAATATTTAAAAATAATTATGTATTTAAACACTGTGAATCCTTGAAAAAGAGGCTGACAATAGTGACTGAGTTTCTTGCGCTGCTTCTTCTCAGCACTGGCCAATTTATTGTCCTGAAGCAGTGGTAGGGTTAATACTGGGACATGTAAAACGGCCATTCTCACGATTAGGCGTTCTCAGCCTAATTACCATATTATTTTTGAAATTTGGCTTAATTGACTTAAACGCATTTAAATATAAAACACATGAAAAGTACGAATTTAACAATCGTAAAGGCGTCAAATTATTCAAAGCGGTTTTCGCGTAAATGAGACCCAAAAATTTTATGGTCACGGTAATTAGATAAGGCTAATACTTAATCTAACGGTAATTAGAAAAGATATGTAAAATAGCAAAAAAACAACATCTTGCATTGATTTTGTACACAAGCGTCATATAAAAGGCTGTAGGTACTCTTAATAACCCTTTGCAAAAAGAAAAACACTAATTTCTATTATTTATTGTATCATGATATTTTCAGTGTACCTACTGCAAGAATCGAGGCTATAACAGGAACACTTAGTTTCAGCAAGAAGGGGCTATGTGTCACATTTAAAATGAGAGCATTTAGCTGAATCAGAATCTGAGTCATCATTTATTTGCTTTAAATGTGGTACAAACGATGGATACAGATAATGGATCAGGAGGTCTCACAAATTTGACTTTTCGGATATGCATATTTTATATCGAAAAATGTATTAATGATATTAATGTTTTTTCCTCTTTTTAATCTATCTGTGATCAGCCATCTCTTAATCAGATTAAATTGAATTTGTAATAATGACAGTTCCAGCTCTGCATATCCCATGATTTGTCACCTCGATTCTTTTACAATAAGTTTTCAGATTGATGCTATTCGCTTTCTCCTGAGCCTGAATGCAGAATTCTCAGAATTTAGAAGGGATGCAGCAAATAGATTTCATGACGGTCTAGTCTTTGTTTGTAAGCTTTACAGGAATTTTTTACACCCTCTTTGACGTTTGGTATCACTTCAGTGGACTTTGTAAACCGGTCGATGCCATATGTCTATATGGGTCTTAGGATGCATTTGTATTTAGTTTGTTCTCCAAGCTTCTTCTGCCCAGTATCCATTGCATATCACGAAGTTTTTTTTCAATGCATGCATAACAAAGCTGCATGCAGTCTAGGATGGTACAAAGTGCCTAAACACTCGTCTTGAAAAGGCCCATTGTCTGTTCATTTGTTCCCTTTTGTTCTTAATGTGATCACGCCAGGTAAGTGTTACTGTTGGACAATCTCATCTTTTTAGGGCAAAATTAACATGGATAGATTTTAATGGTATTATATTAGAATTAATTAATGATTTAACATGTTAATATCAATGATATTAATAGTAAAAATAAATATCTGGTACGAGACATGTTTCACGCAGGGGTGACATCTCCTGGGCATCAGGAAGCCCCGATTTCACTCCAGCTAACTTCTTTTTGTGAGGTTACCTTAGGGGTTAAAATATACTCTAAAATCCAACAACCATGCAGCAACTGAAGCTGAACATTCGTCATGAAATCGAATCTATTTTGAGGTAACTCTAACGAAAGCTTTTCAAAATTTTGATGTCAGATTGGAAGAAAAGTCCGTAAAGTTGTTATGCGAAAGTCTAGCTATTTTATAATTATACTTATTCAATCGTGAGTGCAGTTTGTAGGTAATAACTACATACAACGGTGATTATAAATATATGGTAATTAGTACATGGAAATTAGAAAACGATAGGTTTTCTTCAAAATTTCCAAAATCTGCAGGGTATGCAAATACTGTCTTACTATAACGTATGGAGGCCAAAGTACTGATTCTATTTGAATCAACAACGTGGATCTACCTTCAAAAATCTAGTTTAAAAATAAGGACATGGTAAATAGAAAAATTAAAAACCAAAGATATGGTAATTATACTCTTACGCAATTCATCGACGGTACGCCAACGCAATAGACGTCTACTTGCTTACAGGTCATAGAACTAACTAAGGGCTCGCGCCGCGCGCGTAAATGATGTGTCAAATATTATTATTTAGGCTTGTGTGCCCAAAAACAAAAAACGTCACGGGAATTAGGATTTTCGCTCGGACAAGCAGTTTTTTAATTCTAATTATTTACAGAATGGTTCTATTGAATAGATATTTTGCTATGCATAAGACTATCTTTTATACTCTTTAAAATGTTGAATGGAGTAAACCAAATCTTTACGACATAAAAATTACAGCCAACTTTTAACATTAAGTCGGTGTGCGGACACGTAACGGTAATTAGAGAACAGAGGTTCATGAAATTAATTTAGACACAAATACTTCAAATAAAGGCCTATGATTTAATGCACAACTGGATAGGGTTGTGAAGTAACATATAAAAATACTTGCATGTCTCTAATTTGTCATTTTTAACGATTTAACAGCCCGGACACGCAAAAACTAGCTCATCTGAGAATGGCCGAAAAGTGCTTTTTTAAAGCCTACATGCAAAAATAAAATGTATAAAGTCTTGTAGAGCTCTGTACCTGTTTCTTTAGTATTACTAGTGTAGTGTTACCAAAACTTATCCATCGATCCCCCTGCTAAGTATTCCGTGCACTCTCTCATCAGTTCTGCTTAATTTGAGCAGGGCTACAACAAAACTAACAAAAAGAATCAAAGGCCAATCCCGAAAACTAAATAAACTGGATCAGATACTCAAGAGTTAACTTGAGATTTAGTAATGAGGATAATGACTCATTTAATTAGAAATGAATTATTTGAGAAGATTAAAAAGGTTGGCACAAAGTTCTAAAGTATTAAAAATGTTATACGGTCATTCTCCGGATCTGGATTATTTTGTTGATTACCCCGACCTTTTTTATTTTTGAATTTAGAGTAATTTTAGGTAAAACATTTCAAAATAGACATTATTACGAGCATATTTTTTATATTGGCCCATCTGTAGCAAGCAGGAATAAAAAGTTATGCGACATCAAAATTTTCATGGTCGGGGTAATCAAAGTTGGGAGTCAGAGTAATCAAAAATAAAACAAAATATTTTATTTTCTAAGGTTTTTTTTAAGTTATGGTAAAATAAATGTTATTTTATCTAGCCATTTGTTATTTTAATGTATAAACGACAATATTGTAAAGTTTCAACAAAATCTGTTAAGTAGTTGTTGCGTAAAAGAGTAAAAAACATACATATACATTATACATATAATATTAGTGACTCAATGTCCTATGTCTCCTATATGGGACAGAAGGCGTCCACAACAGTCCTCCATCGCATTCGGTCTTGAGCTTCGTGTTTGATCTCGCTCCAAGTCTTAACAGTGCGCCGCTATGTTTTTTTGGCGCGACCACGTTTGCATTTTCCCTGGGGGTTCCAATCTAGAGCCTGCTTGGGGATGTGATCGGGGTCCCTTCGGAGAGTGTGGCCGATCCAGTTCCACTTGCAGCGTTTATTCTGCTGAAAGATCGGTATTTCGTGGCAGCGTTCCAAAAGTTCGTCGTTTGAAGATTTTGGAGAATTCGGCGAAGACAGCGGCTGAAGAAGATCTGCAGCTGGTGCGAGATAACCTTAGTGACCTTCCACGTTTCACGCCCATAGAGCAGAACTGGTTTGACGTTGGACCCGAATATTTTGATCTTGCTTGGGTCAATTTCCGTGACTGCCATACGGCTCGAAGTTGTGCGAAGGTAGCTCTGGCCTTGGCAATGCGCGAAGTGATGTCCTCTTCGGTACCTCCAGGCTCTGAAACGATGCTCCCGAGGTAAGTGAAATTGTGGACTCGTTG